CTTAGTAGTTAGACATTGCTCTATAATACTACTCTCTTGACCACAAAGCGAGATGAAAATATCTCTATTCTTCTTGTAGGAAAATATAATACAAAGCATGTAAACTCTGAGTCGCACTTTTTTGCCAGTTCTTCTTCTTTTGTTTTGACTTGAAAAAAAAAAGAATACATAACAGATACACATACGATGCTAAAAAATCAAAACCTTGAAAATTCGATGATGGACCATAATCATATATTGTTTCTTCCTTTTTTTGTTTAAGACATATGATACGAACAAAAATAAAGACTGTCAGTCTCCGATCCTTTTACGGCATTGACAACCTTACGATTGATATGTAAGTATGGTCTATGGTGCATGTAATGTAGTTGCATATTAAAATATATAATGTCTTTGATTGAAGCTGAAAAAAAGGCGGCTGTTTTGTCGGCGTCTGATCTGTTGCGGCCGGGCTCTTCGTCATGCGAGTTTGAGTGCAAAGTTATTCTTGAAACAAGGATCTGCTATTTTATTTCTTATTTGATTATGGCTCCTATCATCTTTCTATCGCTTTTTTCAATAGAAGTTTTAATGAAGGAAAAATTTGGACTATGAAATTCAGGGATGACGAACGTAACTGCGCAATTTATCTGTGAGTGAATTTATCATTACAACAACAAAGATATCAGAAATCTGAATATGTGCGTTTATTTTTTCTCAATCATTAGCTCTTAGTTGATGATTGATTTTTCTTTTCATAATTGTTGTTTTTACATTAGGGGATTAGGACAGAATGATTCTGAATGTAGCGTCATTTCTGATATCGCCACTTCTGAAAAAGATGATTGGGTTAGAGGTCAAATACTAGCGGCTTTTAAACAATCTGGATTTGCCAAGGAAAATGTTGGACGCTGTGCATTACTCCCATGTGAATTTGGGACGTACGTTAATGCTTCTGCTGAAACCATCAAATGCATAGAGTGCTCAGCAGGTAAATTTATTCGCAGTTTATGAAAACTGCACAGTTATATCGTCGGGATAATATGTTTACATTGTTAGTCAGCCCTGTGCTCATTATGGTTTAAAGGTACTTACATATAGTATTAGATGGCGTGTGCTTATTCCTGGAATACAAAAGTATCTATCTAAAGACAACGATAAGACTCTGGTTGATACTTTTTCCCCTGTGGAATTTAATACTGTAAAGAGAAAGGAACCAATAAGCTACACTGTTGTTCGAGGTCACTGGCAGCATATCTTCATTGAGTCCAAACCTATATTTGTTTGATTTTGGAGAAAAACGGTGTCACTTCAGGCTGGAAATTTCAGATAGTGTGTAAGTTCCGGCAATGGGGAAACGTACACAAGTCAACCAAATAACCGACAGCAATCCTATGATTACTGAGTGGCATAGGCGTACGGGCATTTTTTTGCCAGGGGGGGCGGTAATCCATTTGCCCAAAAAATTCTTGCAAGTTGCCCAAATTTTTACAGAACAGTCGAAAGGAAACTAGGGCCATGCGACAAAATAGGCCGTACTGGCATATGAAAGTGGCTCGATAAAGTTTTTCAGAGTCAATACCTGCCGAGTTTGAGCATAAACTTCGTCGCCACAAACAAGCATTTGGAAAAAATTGCCACCACAGTTGTATTAGATAAAAAGGGAAATTTGTCATGATCAGGGTTGCAAAGACATTGGAGCTGCCATAACAACGAAATGACGCCATTACCTTATTCTACTTGCAGCAATATTTCTCACTGGGAACTGTTCTTACAAAATCGTTCAGGGAAGCTCTTTCCTCCAATAGTCGCCTCGATGTTCGTGAAGTTAAAACGGAACTGTAAGAGGGTTATCGAGATTTTTTGGGATGAAGTTTTTATTGTTAGAAATAAGGTAAAAAGGAAAAATCTTGATGTTTAGTCGCAATCTGAAGAAAACGAAACGCTTTTAACATGCAATTTCACTTCATAGTAGTTTCAATCTTTTCAAAAACGTGTGTGAAAGATCATGGAGATAGCTCCTGCCAATTGCTATAAAGAAGGATTTGATAAGCGCTCGATCTTGTTAGGGGTTTTGTAAACATTTCGGTCTACTTAAACAAATTAATGAATAATTTTTAAACCGCTCGATAGATTTTTTTTTAAAAATTATGATTCTTCTCGTAATTCAAACTGAGAATTAGTCAGCCACTTCTTCACTTTCAGACCCGTTGCTGACGCGTGTTCTGCCACACACTGTTCTAGGAGCGGAGGTGATTCTAGAAAGTTATGCGGAAGTTTATTCTAATCAATTAACGACTGCAAATAGCTTATTCTAGCTAGTGCAGTGAAGTACAGTGCCCAACAATAAAAAAAATCAGCATATGATACCCTTCCCTTATAACCAGAAACTCATCACATGCTAGGCAACCACTGTCTCGTGTGAACGTAACTGAATTATTACTCCAACTTCTGGTTAAAATAGGAAATATATATCTCTTCAAAATAATAATAAAAATAAAAAACATGGAAACGTCTTTAAAAACTGGCTTTGCCCAAATTTTCTCTTGCTGCCCAAAAAATCTCAGTTGCCAAAACTTTGGGGGGGGCTGCAGCCCCCCTCGCCCCCCCGGCCAGTACGCCTATGCTGAGTGGACAGTGATGAGGATGAATCGCTTTAGCCAGTACAGCATTTGGAAAGTCATGTTGGCCTTTTATACTAGAAATACGTGTACCTGTTTTCTACTGACACGCCACCGAAAATAAAAACCAAAACCGTTCAATAGATTACGTTCAGAATCTGGGAAATGAAAGACGTTTAATATAGAAAGGCTCTCGATGAAGCTTTAGGTCGGTGCAATTTTTCACATGCGAGATATTGGGAGATATATTTAATCTAAATTTATAAGGCTTTTGTATGGAGACGCCATGTTGTTACACCTCTGAGCGGCACCATCATGGCGGCCGAAAATTAACAGCAACATATGTTACCGAGTTTTTTTTAAATTTCAGTAACACTTTTCCAAATCATTATTAATAAAAGGACTGCTCAGATAGCAACATTAGGAATTCACATGTACTCCATGACAGAACGAAGAACCCTTTCGAAGTGGTGATTTGTAAATATAAAAGCTTTTTTGCTGCTGTAACACTTAATGAAAGTTAAAACTCGGGATCAATCACTCCTTATTTTTGAAGTTTGGTGACGCTATGTGAAAACTGTGTAATAAAGCACTCAAATGTAATAAGAATTGATCACTAATGTAATTAAACGACCTTAATGCTATGAAAACCATATATACTCGATTTTAAGTCGGGACACAAAGCACCGCGGCGCTCTTTCGAAAAACAATATAAGCTCCGCCCTCAAAAAACCTTAGCAATACGCGCCACGGCAGTCTTTCGAATTAACAGAGTTAATTGGATTAAATGGGTTGAATGCAGTAGAAAATAAAGTTTTTACGAAATAGCGCCGCAAACCTTATTTGTTTTCCTTCTTTTATGTGCGACTGTTACTAACTGGGGGGTTCCATTTCGAAAAAAAAAAAGAAATATTTTGTTTTTTCGAAAGAGCACCGCGGCGCTTATTTGTGTTCCACTTTTACTGAGGGTGGCGCTCATCCGAGAAGCACGGTTTTGATAGCATTTGAAGGTTTTATTTTAATCAGTATATTTTTTTACCAATTTGTATTACATTTAAGGGCTTCATTACATTTGTGGTCAATTATTACATTTGTGGCTTCAACACACATATATTATACTTTATTATGATATTACCTTTTAGGCGATCAGAATAAATATCACGTGACAATGACGACACGTTAGTTTTAGCTCCAAATCGAATTTCAGCCCTTGCATCGGTATTTTCCTTGAAAATGCTTTACGCTACTACCTATCTATAAATTAGATAAACAGCAATTAAACCACAACTCGTTAATATATTTTCTCTAAATTATTTTACTACTATACTATGAAATCCGCGAATTTCATGTCCATTGAAAACAAAACTTTTAAAGTTGTTTAAAGCAAACGCATGCCCAAAATTAAAGCAATGTCATAGATTTGGATAATTTCTTACTCTGGGATTTGCTATTTGTAGTGTTGTGTCAGTTTAGGTCTTTAGTATGCGTTTTGTGAACTAATTTTAAGTGTTATGAGTATTTATGCAGCTGATGGAATTTAAAGAGTGGAAATTATTTATTAAGGGTCGTCGTTAGTTGTTTGCTTATAGCCGGCGTACTTAGGTACTTACTTAACACTTTAGGCTTGAGTTCACAACAACAACAACAAGTACTTCCCATGCAGCACAAGATAATTTTCCGTGCGTGGCTGCCCAGGCCACCGAAATCTTTCCCGAACATGGTAATGTTGTATCGAAAGGGATAAAATTGAGGAAAGGGAAAACAATTAGCGAACATACGTTTTATATGCGAGTTCATCAGACGTCCGCTATTTAAATCTATTTAGCAATTGATAACATTGCCAATTTCATTTAATTTGAGATAGCGTGACACCTTCACTACCTCTTTTCACCAGTTTTCTCCCTTTCACAACATTGCCATATTTCAGAAAGATTTTGGAGAGCAACCAAGAGCGGTAAATTCAAGCCAATTTTCAGGTATAATTACTAGTGTTTTATAAAACTGGTCCAGATTCATCCACCTCATTCCTGCATTGGTTTATTTCTCATATTTCAAGAGATAATAAGCTAAGATAGCGAATCCCCCATACATGGCCCTTTTCCTATGAAATATATTTGAAATCTATTTTTGGTTCTGGAACTGCGTGGCTGTTTTAATGACGCCACCTTATTGGTCGGTTGGAACTGCGTCGTGTAATTCTATGCTTGACGGTTAATTCATTTCACTAACCATCACGTAGTAAGTAACGTAACGAGCGAACTTTTTGATAAAACTTGAATTGTCTATCGTCAGTTCAATATATCTTGAGAGTTGAGGCATTTAATCCCAGTAAGTTTTCTGATGTATCACATCTACCTATTATTTTCCTTTGCTAGTAATCTTTTTTGATCCTTTATTCTTTCAGGAGGTTTCTATTCGGACACGAAGGCTTTTGTAAATGACGGCTGCCGAAAATGCACCAATGGAACTTTTGTCCATTACAATGAAGCACCCGGGAAAAGACTGTTTGACTGCAAGCCATGTCCAGAAGGTAATTCTCTTAAACTCCCACTCTTACCGCACTATGGAGCATAATATTAGTTATCATTTGATCCAAATTCAGCTTCCTTCTCATTAGCCGAGACCCTAGCACGTGACCTGCAATTAACTGCCTACAAATTATTGTCTGCTCATGCGCAACGTCGTCCAACTTTCTTTGCCTGCAAATAATATTCTCTCTATGCCATCGCTTTTGCGAGGAAATGGCAGCTTCCCGAAGAACGTTCAGCAAACGCTCCTTTAAAAAGGTGTTATAGTTATATGTATGTCCATATAGTATTTAGCTATAATTAAAACTAAAGGTTACAAATATGTGTGTAATGCTGCACGCAGATACTGGGTATCTGAGAAACGGTGAACTGACATACACATGCATGCAATTAGTAGGATAAAGGAGTACAGGGGAGTCACGATTTCTTTGTGATTTTGAAAGTGTTTACCAGCGCCACAATGAGTAAAAGGTAGCGCAAATTAGAATAACACAACGAGAGTGGAACGATTTTAAATTAAGTTATGAAGACACTACTGCATAAGCTTGCTAATTCCAATTATCCTGACAAAACATAAATCCATTTTATAACGCCTAAAAAGCGAAAGGACTGACAAAGGAAACCACATGAGACCCAAATAGTATTTTGCCTCCACTACACAACAGAACACACAAAACAACACTTGGAGCATGGGCGTGTCGGTCAGCCAGGCCCAAACACTTTATTAACTCACGTGAATGATTCCACTGTTACAGTAATTCTAAGAACACGCTACAGCCGGACACGTAAACTCGAAAAAAACAACTATTGGAAAAATAGGGGCCGTGTAACCCCAACCTATATGCTATGGCGTCCCTTTGGGGTTATAAGGCGAAACTAATAAAATAAAGCCTAATAACATGAATAAGAGCAGAAAACGAGATGCTACATAAAATAGCTAAGAAACATAGGGACCAGTAAAGAAGGCAACGAAATTAAGGCTAACAGAATAAGTGAAAAATAAAGTAAACAAAGCAAGTTGACGCGGCGAGGCCGCGACCGTAGAATGACACGCATAACGAAACGGTCACTATATCAAACCCCGTAAACGAGATTCCTCGCGCGCTACTCTAGAACCCAGCTCTCCGTTCTGTGTTGGCAAAATAATATCTTATGTCAATTCTAATTTACACAAATTATATAATGTGCTGCTCGCCTGGGGACTCGAAGCAGATAGGTGGCCAATAGCTGCAAGTGTACTGTCTAAGGAAGCTGGACTTATTTAGGGACGGACCATTAGAAAACTTATGCGGAGTTTGGGCGGACGAAGTACAAAAAAAATTTCGCGCAAGAAAAATTAAATGAAAAAATTCATGCACGCCAATTAATCCTAAAAAGTATTCAAAAAAAAAAATAAGGAATTTGGCCCGAAAAAAATTCTTTTCGAAAATCTCCCCCTCCCTTCGCCCCATAACTTTTCTAATGGTCCGTCCCTAGGGGTAAGTTAGAAAGGTGTGAGAAAAGAAAATAGAGACAAGAGACAAAATAAAAACAACAACAACAACAAACAACCACTTTCTTTTTGTGAAGAAAATAGTCAATTTTTGGTCCATTTTTAGAAATAAAAGCGCCACTCTCAACGCCATTTGGGACCTTACGATACCAAGACGGCGACGGTAACGAGAACGTCTAGAACACAATGGTTTTTTTTTATGAGGAAACCAACAAATCTGCATGTACTGTACATTTCTTTGTCGTCCCTGTACAACTACGTTGTGAAATGTCCAAATGACGTGAAAACGGGAATGGCAATGCTATAAAATGTACTTATTCTCTCTGAACTAGGACACGTCCCCCTCTTTTAGTTCCAGCCTTTAACCCGCGTGGAGTTTAGTTCCAACTTCTATACTTTCAAGTAACTGGGTGACTTTTTTTTTATCGGCGTCGCCATTTTCATATCGTAAGGTCCCTTCTAACCCTTTGCCGTCAGCCACTTTTAAGGAAAAAGCCGCATTTTGGACCAAATCCTTCTTTTTGAACCGTTTTTCGGCCAGTTAGCATGGGAATAGCTAGAAAACAGACTTCCAACACTCAGGACTCAAATTTCTACTAACTGGATGCAATTAAGCGGCTTTTTTGTTTTTCGGGCATGCGCACTGGCCAAATTTCTTTTTTCTTTTGCGAATCTATTTCGATATTTTTTTCTCGCTATCTTTTTTTTCCTTTTGCTTTTCTTTTTATAGCCAGTTTTGTTGCTCACTTTATCATCTTTCTTTTGCACGAAATCTTGGTTGGGTTTCTTTCCAACAAAGGAAGAAATTTATTGTGTAAAAAGTAGTAGGTAAATAGGAAAATTGGTGGTGAATGTTTCCCCAAATGTTGCTTGTTTTCTGTCTGTTAACTCTCCGGATTAGTCAAACGTACTAAATGAGGTACCTTTGGACAGCTCTATCCTCGCTAATTTTGCTACTCCATTGTTAAAGCTTTAATGGAAACGTTAATGGATCCAGCAAGAAAAATATGCATGGGTCCAAACGGACCTAAAATGGCAAAAGCGGACGACACAGAGTTTTAACCCGCGTAGAGTTTCAGGAGATGATATATCGCCTTGCAACTTTAGTTGAGTGCTCTCTAAAGTTTCCAAGTGCTTCTCATCTCATATGTATTATAAATGGTCTGCTTGGCAGGCGCAAAAAGGGAAGGGGGATGGGTAAGGGAAAAAAGTGCAGAAGCGAAGAAAAGGGAAGGGAACTCCAGCTATAAGAGCCGAAGTTTTTGCCATTTTGTCAACTAATCCGAAAACGTCAACTGACAATACGTGACCAATGACAAGTAGTGGGGCTTCTTAGCGTGGTCCCTAATTACTTTGTTTACCGGGAATTGTCAAGTCGAGACGCCTTTTTTCAACTAGAAAACATTTTACTTTTCTTGCTCCCGCAGCAAACACGACCAACATAGACTTTTTTTACTGCTCGCAGTTTACGACAAACAATGATCATCTTGAAAATGCTCACAAACAGTCGCCAGCCTGAGACTCGAATAATGAAAGGCGAATTATTAACAATAGTCAAAAAGTTCAAGGAATAGCTTTTACCAAAGCTTCAGCTCTCTCTTTACAAACCATTTAGAAGGTCATTCAAGACGGTGTATGTTTTTGCGGAAAAGGCGGTCTTGTGAATGTCGGCATTGCAGATGTCTGACAAGAATCGTTATCGAATTGAGTCGCCGCTCGGCGTTTGAAAAAATCCAGTATACAAAACCTCCTAAGCATCTCTGCCTGCTAAACAAGCTATTACAGACAGTTGGTTCTAGTTGGTTCAGTAGATCACATTTCCTTGATGCCTGCATCAAGTTTGTCTCTCACCAATTCACGCCAGGATACACGCCAATAAGTTACTTATTACGGCTCAGGCAATCAGGAATTTGCGGACGCCAGCGTCCGCAGAAATGAACAAAAGGGGGTTCTTATAGCAGGCGTCCCTTACCCTCTCTCCCCAGTCCCCCTCCCTTTTTCCCTTCCTCCCTATCCTATCCCCGGTAACACCGCGGCAAAACGTCTACGCATGCGCCAGGTTGAGCATTTCCGGTCTCTTTTTCAGTCACACTTTCCAGTCAGATCAAAGTCTCCCGCGCGAGCTCGGCTTCACTCTGTGTGCAGCTTGTGGTTCAGTTGTTCGGCTTCATGCTGCTCGTGTTTTTGACTATTTTGTAGTTATTGAAATTGCTTTTATGGATAACCAGGCACAGATCACTGAAACAATTAGTCGATGAGATTCAGAAAAGGTAAGATGATAATAACTCAGTGTGTAATTTTGGCTAGAGCGTCAGGTAAACTGATTTTCATTCACGAAAATAAAGTTTTTGACTGTTATTTTTCACTTAACCTGGCTGAAACTAAGACATAAAATTAAAACATTATCATTGCAAGCTTGTGTATTGTAGTTCTAATTTTCAGTTCTTCAGTTTCTCGGTCTACATGTGTTAAAGCCGATTCAAACTTCATTTGGAAAACGACAACACACAATCGCTTTGTAGTTTTGTTTACCAGTGGGTTTTACCGTGTTTTAAAACGAAACTCTTCTGGGTTGATTGCCATCAAACATAAGCTTAATTATACCGTTGAGCTGGTTGGCAGCAAGTTGATAACTCTATTTATTTATTTTTCCATATTCAGAATCAGAGAGCGAAAGCTGGTTCAGTGGCTTTTAGAAGTCGAACTTTTCATGCCATGTATTTAGCAGCTAGAAGTTTCGTGTTTGCATGAGATGCAGCCGAGCCGCACAGTCTGAAATTATTGAAGTCTTCAACAAAAGAACAACCATGTAAAAGAATTAAATAGGCATTTTCTTGAATGAAAGTCACTTATAGGCATGTTTAGTTTCCCGGTGACTGCATTCATCAAAGTCAAAGTTGTTATTAAATCCCGCCCATCTTTTGTTTTGAGTTCTTGTTTTCTCTGATAATAAAACAAATTATTGAACGGACTAAAATTTTATTTCCTGGTTTAAGTGTTTTTTATGATAATGACGACGTCTTTATTTTGGTTTCTTTCATATTGTTATTCTTTTCTTAGTTGTCGCCTTCTCCCAAATTAACTTATGCCAAACCAGTAGCATGCAAGAAAGGCAGTAAAAATAAATTCGTCTTGTCGAGCGCTCGCGACCTGCAAACTTCAAACATCATTTTCACCGTTGGTGCAAACAGATAACCATGTGGTGCAAAAGTTTGAGAATAGAAAAATATATAAGCTTTCGAATGAAGTGATTTTTTTGGCCCCCTTTTTTGTCTGTTTCGCCCATTTTGCTTTTAAACTTGGCGCGACGGCAAAGTTATGCTTACGCTATTGGTTTATATACTAGACCGGAAATAAAAAGCTGACCGGATATTAAATTTTGTGCTCATGCGCATTGCGTTTTGCCGCGGTGTTATCCCCGGTTCGACGCCTTCTTCGCAGGCTAATCATAAATGTGTATCACATATATCATCTGTATTCTTGATATATACATCCATGTACACGGTAGTTAAATTTCCATTTAATAAAATCCAAAGCAGCTTTGCTACGCTAACTTCAATGCGTTGCTCATTTGTGTTAAGGAAATACGCTTCTGTACCGTTCATCGATCTCCTTGCGCTTCATTTGGGCCGTATCATCTGGGCATTTTCTTCGCTATTGCTCAAATTTTTCGCGACCTCGAAAACTAACAAAAAAACGGAAATAACTTAGATAGGAATATGTACTCGATGTATCCTTTGTTGTGACTTTAAAAACTTCATGAAGAGGAATAAAATGTTTTACACATGGCACAAGCGCACTATACTCAGAAATGCGATGACTCTGTAGTTGTTCCTAGGCATGCTGCTTTCTTCGGTGCCAGTAAATGTAAGTGGGGGAGCAAAAGTTGGGAGCAAAAAAAACTAATGAATAGCTCATAAATAAATTGCCCGGGAAACTGTTATTTCTCAAAGATGAAAGGACACCGTAAGTGAAAAGGGGAACGAAGGAAAAAAGCAAAACATGCGTAGGCTAGTACTATTTTAAACGAGAATTTTTTTCCTTAAATAAGTACATGTACGTTGTAATGAAAGATGAGAAATCTTCTTTTATAAGCCATGGCCCTTGGTATAAAAATGCGGGAAACTGTTTTTTCTCAGACATGACGTGTTTTGCAGCTTTTATATGGGTATAAGCTCTCCTGTGACTTAAAAATCACGAAGTCGTGACGTAATTATGCACGTTCTATCTCCTGCCGTATTCATTGCCTAACAATTGTAAAAGTTCCCAAAATTATGCAAATTCAGGGCATTTTTAAAACGCTCGTACGAAAAAACGAATGCTAATCCATAGTTCATCTTCACAAGGTTTGTTGCATATTTCTCAAAGTTACTTTCAAGCTGTATTTTATCTTTATCTAGGCTTTCTTTCTCTTTTTTACACCCGTGCAAAGAAAGTAATGCATGTTTCGTGCTTTGTTGACACAGTGAATTTTACCATATTTCAGAATGTTATAGCATGAAGGGTATATATATTTAGCGGCTGTGAAAGGATTCTTTAGAAAGAACAATTATTCTTGTTTGTCATACTAAAAGCTTGTTTTTGGTCCCCAAAAGCGAGCGCGCTAGAGAAAAATGAATCAAGTACACTTTAACGATTTTTCCGTTCTTAATGTATTCAGCCAACATTGATAGTAGTAACACATTCTCCGCATCAAGAACCTTGCTGTTGTTTGTAAAACCACTTTTTGTTCATTAAAATTGATATATTTTAGCTAAGGAACATTTTGCAAAGCATTCCATCTTTATTACATACGTTTTGGTGTTCTGGTGAAGTGTTCTGGTAAATTATAGATTAGGCGTGACAAACTTATGAAACAACAGGTGGTAAAAATTTTCGGCTCCTGGTCCTCCTGCTGCATGCCGACTGTTGGTCCTGCTTAATCCCACATTCTGCTTTTCTGCTTCCAAACCATCGAAAAAGACAGAAAGAAAGGTAGAAATAACCATCCGAGAAACATGTATTGTTCTTTAACGTAAAAATAATTAAATATTCAGAATGCCAGCAAAAAGTTTAAATGGAGGGCAATTATAATACACGAAAAGGAAACTTCAAATGGCCGTAACCATATGAGTGCTCGATGTTTTTTTTTTCTTTCCTTGCTATCTTTTTTCCATCATCGAATTAAAATTAGGTTGCTTTTGCATTCAGCTTATCACAAAACATTTGCGGATTACTTTATTTGGAAAACATTTAAGTAGTCACTGAAACTTGACTGGACAAAAAAGATGTTCATACTGTTGGGCAGTTGCCCTTAGCAGATAAGCTCTGATTTACGATCTGATCACGTCTTCACTTAATATATTCAAGAAAAAAGTACTTACTTGTTTGTAAACCAGAAATTTAAAGCGATTGTCAATTGTAACCACAACACATTCGATGTGTTAAAAAACTGTCATGCCGGCAACCAGCGACGCGATGTTGTATGACAATTATCACGAAATTAAAATGCGATACACTTGTGTGGAAGAAGTACCCCAAAAAGCATCTTAAAAGAGACGGCCAAATACGGACTGCGTTTTTTTTTTGTTACGCTGTGGTTACCAATACCAACATTTCGGCTTTGGAACTGTGTCTTGAAGATCTTGAGAATCGCTCATCCTGGTTTGCCTCAAATTATTTGTCCTTCAATGCCAAGAAAACCCATGCGATGATCCTGGTAAGCACTCCCATGAACCTGCTCTTCATATTGGCGACTCTGTTATCGGAATAAATGGCTTCCTGAATATTCTTGGTGTTCATATCGACGATAAGTTGTCCTTTAACGACCACCCATTAAAGTTTTTAAAGAAGGTCTATGCCAAGGTTGGAGCTCTGAGACGACTTAGAAAGCTGGTGCCTGCTGACATCGCACTTATGCTGTACAAGGCTTATATACTTCCACACCTTGAATATTGTAGGCCATTACAATTAGGGATTAACAAAACTTTGAACAAGAAACTTGAATCGGCAAACTATTAAGCTTTAAAAGCCCTCTTAAATTTCGGAAACAGCTTAGGTTATGATTCCATATTGTCGCTGTAAACATGCAATCACTAGAACATGGACGGTGCTATCAATCTCTTATCCTCCTTTTTAACTGTATAAAACGAAATAGGGCTAACTATATTTCTGATTTATTCGAACCTCGTATATTGCTCTACAATTTAAGGAACAGAGATCACAATCTCACTCAAACATCCTATAATACTAGGGCGAATATAGGCGAAATTTTATCTAGAGGGGTTCGGGAGCATTCTTACACAGAAAATGGTAAAAGTTAGAATTACTGGGTAATTTCTACCAATTCTGAGATTGATTTTGTCCAATTTTTATCACCAATCCGCTGGTTTTCTGCACAAAAACGTACATGTAGCAAAGGAAATTGTGTTTGCTTTTAACATAAAGATTAGAAGACTTAAAAACCCATGGTATTATTGGTGGGGACATAGCCCACTCAGCCTAAGGCTTCGCGGTCTCTGACCAAGATTGGTTACCACAGATGTTGTAAATGTAAAGAAAAAAGCCATTTGCGAGGGAAAGATCCTTATGCTATGATCCTTACGCAGCCCAGATAATTTCTGGAACGAGGAAATTTGATCATGTTACACCTATTCTTAAGCAGTTACAGTGGCTGCTAATTATTAAACAACTTGCGGTTATGGATGCTACCGTGGAATTTAAATGCTTAAATAGACTTGCACGCCCATATCTTTGTCAGAAGTTTAAAACAAGAACGGAAGTGGACAACTGCAACACTAGGAATAGGGACCGCCTACATATACGACCCTGTAGGACGGCTGCAGGTCAGCACGCGTTTACCTTCAGTGGCCAAAAGCTGTGGAATAGTCTCCCAGACGAGTTTCAGTCTATTACTAATTTAGATGTATTTAAAGTCTTGATCAAAAACGATTTCTTAAAACATAAGCAAGCGAATATTAACGTTAAAAGCCGACGTTTCGGTATCATCATGACACCATTCTTAAGGCAAAATGAATAAATAATGCGAAGATTTGATTTCTATAGTCTCTACAAATTAGCATAATAACAAAGGATCACAAGTTCTTCAAGTGAATACCTTTGAGCGAATCGAGCTTAAAAATCAAGACCACTTTTCAGCCCGTGTTCATCAGCAGAAAACTCAACGAAGACCTTAAATTTCGAGAAGTCAAGCCAGCCATTGTTAACCAACAATGTACGATGCAGGATATGTTGGTTATACTCGCGGCCACCTCCTTTACGCGTTGATGGACACAAACAGAAATCGTCGTCAATTTGTAAACATCATCTTAGCGAACATAACTCGAACGTACCACCTCTTCTTTCAGAACAATTTCACGTGCTCACTAAAGGTTCTAACAAATTTGATTGCCTAATTAAGGAGATGCTCTTTATAAGAAAACTCAAACCATCCCTAAACGTGCAGGCGGACTCGCTTGTGATCCTTTGTTATTATGCTAATTTGTAGAGACCATAGAAATCAAATCTTCGCATTATTTACTCATTTTGCCTTGAGAATGGTGTCATGATGATACCGAAACGTCGGCTTTTAACGTTAACATTCGCTTGCAGATGTATTTAAAGTTAAAATAAAACAGCATTTTTAAGGGTATTTTTGGAAAACTAAGTTTTAGATATTTGACATTGTAAATTTAGCTGAAAAGCCTTTTTGAGAAGATTAATAAAGTTATTATAATTGCCCCCGCAGGGATTTCGCCCAGAAGGCCAGAAGGCGAAATCCCGAGGAGGCACTCTAGTAACTCGCGCGTATATTAAGGAAAGTACTTACAGTTGAAATATACAGTCATAAAGTCAATATAGAAAAAATGTCGATTTGCTTGAACAGGGGCCGCGAGGAATCGGTAGGTAATGATGACGTTTCTATTGTTTGCGCCCGCAAGTACGAAATGGTTAGGATGAAGTAAAGAAAGAACATCCCCAAGGGACCGCTTAGGTAGATTTTGTGACATTTATTGTGCAGTCATACTTCGACGCTCTTTTGCGTTACGCGGTTATCAGTGACATTCTGTGGAGCAGTTGTTTCAGTGAAAGTTATGGACCAAAATTTTAACGACACTCATTAAGCGCAGAAGAAGTTATAAGGTGCGTATAAATGTGTATATACAAATACTTGGAAAGTTTGTTAGACACGAGTTCACAAATCGTTCATTGGAAACCTTGCCAGACACTCTTTCTCTCTCTATTACCGAAATAAACAAGCAAGACGGGTGAGCAACAGCTAGCTTCTCACCAGCAGAACGATGTACGATTACAGAAATTCGCCAACAATCAAATTCTGTGCTGACTTATTCCCTGCTCACAGATGTCCTTTCGCTATAAACTTTAAAATAAGACTAGAATGCGCGAGTGTGAATTAATCAAACGTCCTTTTATTAAATTTCTAAGGCTTCCTTTCCGGCAAAGAAAATGAACTGAATGTAAAAAGTGAAAGAAAAATGGCGAAAAATTCAACTTCTTATTAAATCTTTTCTTATGGTTTAGAATAAACTATTCTCGAAACTTCCAGTCCAGTCCAGTCACTGGCAATATTTTCAGGTCAGGTGCATGTTCTTTGCATAAGGAACTTTGTCACTTGGGCCTGATTAATACAAACGGGTAAGTGACGTTTACTGAAAATTCGAGGACTTCGAGAAGTGAGATTCTCTGATATCTCAGGTCACCGGAGTATTCGGATCTGTATCTTACGCCAGTGTTTGTTTACAATAAGTGATAACAGAGATTACGAGTAAATGAACTTTCCAAAGTTTGGCTCAGAAAGTTTAGTCAAACTTATTTTCTTGTCAAGGGCTGCTGCAGTCTGAATTCGAATAATATGTCGCAATAGAAACCAAACACTGAGTTTTCCTGGTTGAAAAAGTGTCAATCAACCAACTAAGACAACAGCGAGCAAAAGGAGGTAAAATGAAGAAACCTCTAAAATCAGACGTATACTTTTTCGTCTAGCGCGCTCGCTTTTGGTGGGCCAAAAAGGCTTTTAGTATGACATACAGGAAGAATGGTTTCTTCAAAAGGACCCTTTCACACCGGCTAAACATATATACCCTTGATGCTATAACATTCTGAAATATGGTAAAATTCACTGTATTAACAAAGCACGAAACATTACTTTCTTTGCGCGGGTGTTAAAAATAGAAAGAAAGCCTAGATCAATATAAAGTATAGCTTGAAAGTAACTTTAAGAAATGTGCAACAAACTTTGTAAAGATGAACTATAGATTAGCTTTCGTTTTCTCTTACGAGCGTTTTGAAAATGCCGTAATTTGCATAATTTGCTTCGGGCCTTCGACCAGGTTTAGGCCGATTTTAAACATTCCTGTTTTTCGCAAAAACGGAGCTTCGCTGGATCTTTTGAATATTGTTTTCGAAAATAGTTTACCAAAAGGGTTTTTTTTGGTGAGATAAAAAAAAATCGAATTTTCTGATCTGGGGCCGGATTCTCGATATTTACTGAGAACGGTTCTTAAATTTCTGCGTTCGCGTGTTATTGAAAAGCGCTATCTTCGAGAAACTTAACCTCATTAATTTATGCAAGTGTCTCTCACAGATTACGACAATTCGTTTTCAACAATTTTGTTTTATTTTTTTTGTTGTTTGACAGGAACTGACACAACTGCATTTGCAGGATTTCGCGCCTGCAAATGTTTGACAGATCATTACCGTACGAATTTGTTTGGGGCTTGTAAGCCATGCGAGCTAGGATTAGAATGTCAAAATGAGTCAGTAAATCTTAAAGATGGCTTTTGGTGGAAATGGGAAAGTAAGACACACCGTGAGCTGTACAGAAACTTCACCAAATACGTAAAGGGCTTCTCATTTACTCCTAAATTACACAAGGCGAATGATTCCCCTATTGAATACCCGTACACCATTCCTCAACCGTACAGATGCCCCATGACAGAAGCTTGTAAAGGAGGTTTGAATTCTTCATGTGAGGCTGGTTATGAAGGACCATTATGTGCAGTTTGCAGTGATGGATATTATAAACAACTGAAGAAATGCAAACTGTGCCCAACTAAAGGATGGATGATCGGACAGCTTGCAATTATGGGGGCAATAATTATTTTACTGGTTATTCTGGTGGTTTGGAGAAGCAAGAAAAAGAGCAAAAACGATACTGGACGATCTTTCCTTGATGAGGTCCTTGGAAAGCTTAAAGTTATAATTGGCTTTTATCAGGTGACGTCTGGTATCTTGGAGGCCTTTTCATACATAAAATGGCCTAGAAGTCTTTCTGTTATTGGAGAATATTCCGAAATTGCCCAAGGCAAAATTCTTCAGATAGCTCCCCTCCACTGCGTCCTTCCAAGCTTGGAACTTGATGCATTCGGAAGTTTGTTCGCAGTTATGGGATTGAACATTGCAGCAGTCATCGTCGCCCTTGTTAGCCTTGCCCTTGCCACTTGGACATCGACACGACATATTCTGAATGAAGAGGGAAGAATGAAGAAAAAGGAGCATATTAAAGCGGTCGTAATGAGAAATCTGTTTTTCTTTCTTTTCGTGACCTATCTGAACACTTGCGTAAAAACAGCTCAAGTTTTGCCTCTTGCCTGCCACAAGATCTGCGTTAACAAAAAAGGTGAAAGCTGCGAGGAGTATTTAAAGGCCGATTACAGCATTAACTGTAATGGGGAGAGATACAGCCGATTAGTCTTCGCAGGATACTGTTCCATTGTGTATGTGATTGCCCTGCCTGGTGCTGCTTTTATAGCAATTTGGAAACGACAGAGAGGTGAAAAGAAAAATGAAACAAACGACACGAATGGTCCCGGAGATCAAAGCACCGTGCAAACCGGACTTCGTTTCTTACACGAAAACTACAAGCCTCATTGTTGGTATTGGGAGCTGGTGGAGACAGTTCGAAAGGTAATTTTGACCTCTGGATTGATCCTTGTGGGTGGTGAAAGCAGACTTTACATTTTATTGGCTTTGGTTTTCTCTGGTTTGTATGGGATGTATTTCGCGCTGAACTCGCCAATAACTGATCCATTCGAAAACGAGCTTATGCTTTCTTCACTTGCCGTTACCTTCGTAAACCTTGCAATAGGAGCCGTCAGCAGAATCCCGGATGATGGTTTTTCGTCACCAGTCGACCCAATCTTGGATAGCTTGTTGTTCAATGGCTTGGTCATTGTTGCCAACTCCTTGGTCATTGGACTACTTGTCGGTAAGTAAGGATAATACAAAGTATTTGTCTGTTAAAACATCCTGCTACATGTTACAGGCTTAACCCGGGCTAAATACCTCCATGGAATTCCATGGAATTTCGTGGAACTCGATGAATTTCCGTGGATCTCTATGGAGTTCTCCATGAATCTCCATGGAATTCCATGGAATATCCATGGAGTGTCCTTTGAGTTCCATAGAATTCCATGCGTTTTGTATGGGAATCAATAGAAATTCATTAATAAAGCAACTAATTAACTGGTTAACTGCATGTTCAAGTCTAAACTTTTTACTGGACAGAAAAATAGAAAACAGGGCAGGTTTTTAAAAGCAAAATAATGCCTAAGTTTAAATTATCCAAACATCGTCACTTGTTCTTGTTCACCGTTCATGCTGAAACTGAGCGTAATAAATGTTTTTGCGGGCGACAAGAGGAGTCCACAATCCTAGTCTCCAGGTTGTTATTACGCATGAGCCGCTTGTATGTAGCCAGCATTCGTTTGGACGTCCACTAAGAACGAATGGAATGCACAAAACGCAATTTGATCACGTGCGTTTCGACCTTCTACCCCTCGTAATCTGATCACGCGTGTTTTGACCATCTGTCACGTGAAACTTACGCAAAGCACAGCATTGAAGCTAAAGCGTTTGGACCTCGGATCGTTGTCTCCTGCACTCCCTAACCTTTGGTTATTACTAGTTCCTAACTATTAAGGAAAAAAGGTTTTTGTGTGCTTAATAAAAAATGATCCTGTGTAAATAATAAAATATAAGTATACAAAATTGTTTCTAGTGAGAGTGTCTGCCAACAATCTAGCAAAATCAGTGTTGCATTTATAGAGAGGATCTATTTTTTATAACAACATGCAGCCGCTTCAATATAATAAATAACTATGAGTGATCCCACGAGGCACGAAGCTGTCGATGTACAAAGTGTCTTGAGGTTGAGAGTTGAGACTCCAGTCCAACCTGAATGATGACCGAGAGTACCCTGCATCTGCTTTGCATGGAGTTATTCGAGCTACATTTTTAGTCACATCTGTGAATATGTGCGCCTATTTTCAAAGGCTCCCTCACTTAGAAGAACAATGACATATTTTTCTCTCGCTGATTTACTCTTCAAGAGCGTCGGAATGGTGTAGTTAACTCTGAAAGGGACCACATCTTAACGCTTTTAAAGACAGACAAATTGAGGTATTCTTCACAGAATTCCTGATCTGAGTATAAAAGGCTGTTCAGCAAGCAAAAACATTTGCGAACTATGAAATTCCGAGCAAAATCAACACTGTTGAAAATTACTCTCAGCATCTGTCATTTGCTCATATTAAACTCAATCATGTGTTTTTTTCAAAGTAGTCACTAAAAAGCCTGGATTTCGACAAGAGTGATTTTACTTTTGAGTTTTCCTTATAAGCAGATAAAACTACATTTTTTTACATAATTTACTGGTTGAAATAGATAAAGAACAGCTAAGCAGAGGTCTCGATGTTGTGGTTTAACAAAACAGCTTGCCTCTATACTAAAATGCTTAACTCGGATGGCTCTTCAAAGTGACCAACTGTATAGATTTCTATCTCATGGTTAGCACAATCAAGGTCGTTACTAACTTTACAACGTAAATTATACACATCAACTACAATGAACATTAAAATATCGAGAATCTCACTTCACCTGACTGATCACCATCTAGTTTGATTTAATTTGCTGCTTTTGCGCTTTACTTTGCATTTTGAAGATAGGTCTTCGATTGCAGGGTTGTAAGTCCACCTTATTTTCCGTAAGATCGTCGAGATCGAATAGTTTATGGGCGGCCATAGCTTGCTTTCAAATGTACCGAGCCTAGCGTAGCTAAAGGGAGGAGTCAAACTATATTTAGGGGGTGGGGGACGCGACGCCCACCCCTCGTAACGGTAAGCTCTCGACCTCAACGAACTAAGGAAAAAATAGTGAGCTATAGGGCCATTATTTTCTTACTTTGTTTGATCAGCATCACAAGGCCTTGCACATGTACAGTTTCTGCATGATTTTGCTGATCACGATCTATTTTGGTCAAACGTCAAGATTTTTGTTATTTCATGACATCCCTGCTCCTCAGAACGGCTAAACTTCTTAGTCTCAACCATTTTTTTCTGCTAATATTCTTAATGACCATTTCTCTTCTGCGGGAAATAGGCTAGCTAGCACAATTCCAACGCCACAACAACATCTTAATTACGTTAGTCATTGCAAAGCACTGTCTTCATCTTTCTATCCTTACCGGTAACGTCCGACGAAGTGAAATTTCAAATACTCTCCATACCAAACAACAAGTCTTATGGTCTTTAGTAAAATCCAACTAGTGGTCTGTATCAATGCTACGTTCTGATTGGATAAGCTACTACTAGGCTATATGTTATAGCCTACTAGTAGCGAAGAGCGCCGGATTTTTGGCGGCAAAAAGGGACTTACGTGTAGCTTTAACCAGCTAAAAGTTGTTTTGTATCGATATTTTTGAGCAACTAGTTGAATTTTACTAAAAAAATTATTCCTCTCGCGCCTCTGAGTAAATAACCCATGAGGCCGAAGACTCAGAGCCCATTCGAGATCGAGGAATAATTGTTAAGTACTCACACCTCCCATAAAATTATTAAAGTGTGCAAGTAGTATCATAGCTCCTATTCAATCGGAAATATCGAATATCTCAGTAACATTAAGAAAATATCCTTCAAAACTTAAATTGTCCAAAATAACTCCAATATTCAAGAGTGGCGAAGATAATGATGCGAATAAACTACAGACCTATATTCTTATCTAACTTTAACAGAATTTTTGAAAAGATCATGTACAACAGAATGAAAGATTATATTGACAAACATAAATATATGTTATTCACCGGCTGGGAGGTCGATTTTCTTTGGGAGAAACTGGTATTTCAGACCGAGGGCATAGTTTCTCCCAATACGGACCGACCTTTAATTTTTTTTTCCTACTGAGATTTGAAAGTTTCTGGAAAATTTTCCTTCACTCTCCAACCTATTTGTGTTGAAGTAGGACGCGTTTGTGTTGATGAAGCGCGCGGTCGATTGCAAACCAAAACAAAACATTACAACATGACTTTTAGCTCGGTAATTTATTTCAAGGCACTTACTGCTCTCTTTTGAAATAAGGAAAGGTTTTTGTGTCTTGCTAGACAACTCATAATCTGAGTGTCAAACAAGAATAAAAGAATTGACGAGCTTGATATTAAAAGCCCCAGGGTGAAAAATACAGCAAGGGTTATCTTCGGCCGAATAATTCAAAAATTGCTTTAAGATTATCAATTGAGCGGGATCAAAACTGTACAAAAGAGCTAATTACACATACCAGTTTTAGGGTTTTGAATTGAATTCGAATAAAAGAAGGCGATTTGAGTAACAAGTGATAAACAAGGAAATGATAACGGCGATAACCGACTGCTAGAAAAGTGATTCGTGTTGTTTATATAAGATTGAAAGTTAACACCAATCATTGAAAATGGAAAACAGAACTACAAAAATATGAGAGCAAAAATGTCCAATAAACGGTGCATAAAAGCAAGATTGCGGTACTTACAGCGCGGTTATAAAGATAGTGAAGCGACATCACGAGCCACCTGTTTTGCTTTACTTTAGCTGTTTTCCTGGCTTACTTGCTTGATTCTCCCTTCAGATTTTCTGTCTGAATAATAAAATTCACTTTTCCCTAGCTAATTCTAATAATAGCGCAAGTTTTGAAAGAAAGATGATTTGAAAATGACGGTTTTTGCTCATTCACAAACAACAAACAAACTTGTGAATGAAGCTGCCAACGATTCCGCCCGGGTTAGCGGGCAAGATCGTAAAATACCGTCCACTCTCGAAACCAATCACATCGCAGGATTTGGAGGATTGCGCCCGCTCGCAAGCTTGGGAAAAAATAATTTATTGTATTCCTCCCAGTATGGCTTTCGTAAAGGTCACTCGACTAGAGATTGTAAACGCAATACAAACTAATATCAATCAAGGTCTTTTCTCGTGTGGAGTCTTCATAGACCTCAAGAAAGCTTTTGATACTGTCGATCATAATATTTTGCTCGACAAACTTAATCACTATGGTTTTCGTGGAATTATTAAAGACTGGTTCTCCTCGTATTTGAATAATCGTATGCAATCTACCCAAATCGGATCATACATTTCAAACAAAGCCAACGTAAGCTGTGGTATTCCCCAAGAATCTGTCCTTGGCCCGTTGCTTTTTTTATTGTAGGTTAATGACATACATTAATGCTCGAATAAACTTAAGTTTTATCTCTTCGCAGATGATACTAATATCCTTTATGCTGATAAAAACTTAAAGTCCTTAGAAAATATGGTAAATATTGATTACGAAACCTCCACGAATGGTTAACATCCAATAAGTTAACTCTCAATACTACGAAAGGTAACTTTGTAATCTTTCACCCTTATCACAAAAGAGTCACTTACCAACCGAGCCTCTACATGTTCGATAACGAGAAAAATGGAAATGTAACTTTAGAGTCCAAAAATTATATTACAGTCAAACCAGGTCAAGCGTTCCCGTCACTAGCAAACTAATGAATTCATTAATGGCAAAATGATTTCGTTTGTTGATTCAATAATCCATTCATAAAATGAATAATCGAACAATCAAATTGGACCTCGATTCAATAATTAAATGT